CTCTTTCTAAACAAAGTAAGCTCTAAACTAAGGCACTAAGTGAAACAGAAAGTTGATGGATTCTCCCACTTTCCATACTCTTCTTTGAAGGCCTCCAAGCTCTTCAAAGCCAGGACCTTAGTATCAAGTAAAAGTAGCTGCAAACAAACAGAAAATGCCAATCTCCCTCTGCCTGGTTCTCCCACTAGAAGGGGGAAACAAAAAAGGGTCATACCCAGAGCACTTAAACCTCTCCAGACCAATGGAAAAGTTGTGCAGAGGAGAACTGAGCAAAGCAACTGACCTACACATCCAAAGGAATGAGACAGAACAAACCAAGTGAGGGGGAAACATATCGGGGGGAAAAGGACGGGGCTGGGAAATAGGTATGTATGCATAAACAGGACCAGGAAGCAAAGAAGCAGCAGGGAGAGAGACATGGACAAAACAGAAGTCAGAAGAACTTAAATGAAAAGCAAAAGTAGACTATGCAGTTCATTCCACCCCCTACCCAATAAATTCCTGGTTTATTACATTAAACAAAGTTAAAAGAGAAAAATGCTTACTGTTACTTTGTCATGCCAGCAATTGCTACAGTTGTAAATATTGTCACATCCATTATATGTGAAAGGTGAAAAGCAGGATATCTGTGTGACCCCAACCAGGACATTTCTGTCTGGTCTATGAAACAGGTGTGGGGACAAGTACTACTCTGAAAAGCTTGTGAATCCCTGAATCTAACAGCATTAATGTGTTTGTTTTCAAACATTTTTAAATCTAAAACTTTATAATTCTTCACTGCTTTTGTGGATGGCTTACTAATGCATATGCCACCAACTGGGTTTGGAATATTATACACACTGTTACCAAAACTGACATTTTAGACTGCATAGAGCTCTAGATACTGCGTTTCCCATGCAATATTATGAGAACATCACTCCAAACCCTATTTCCTTGTCAATTCTGCGTTTCCATAAGCCAATTCACCAAGGCTTTTAAAGTTGTCTAATCCCCTCTACTCCTCTTATTAAATCATATCACCAACCTATATATTTTAAAGAAATGCAATTACAGAAGGCACTTTGGGTATATTACGCCTTCCATTTGTATGTATCTTAATATAGACATACATCATTTTAAGTAATAAAGGAAAGTAATATTATTTATATTTATAAATATACATACGTTTTTTTCTGTGCTCAACTAGGCCAACAGCTTGCTTGGCTGAGCATTTGGAAAACCAGTTATCCCCAAGCAGAACAGTGACCTCATTGGTATGGACAAGTTTTCCTGGCATGAAGGCAAGGGGACCAAAAGGTACCTGTGAACAGCACAGAAGAACCAGCAAAAAACACACTATTAGAACGAAACCAGGTGGTTAATCATGACAACTTGCACAGAACAGAAGAATTAAGACATAATATGGGACAAAGCTATCTCAAAACTCCATAGAACTGTTATTTATGATAAACACCTGGTAAGTATTCACACTGCCAGATCAGAATCTCAAGTACAGTCTGAATTTAATGTGGTATTTATATTCATCACAAGAAGTTAATATTTAATTAGAAAAACTTTTTGAGCTGTAGAATCTTTTTGAGACATACCCATGGATCTGACAGGAAAACAGAGTCCTGCTATATTATTACTTGGATCCTTACATAAAAATATTGCATCTCATTTAGATTAGTAAAATATTTATTATATATAAAATACACACAATTTATTATTTTCCAGTAAGTTTAACATTTTTTAGACCTGTAATATTTAAAAAGCCCCTACCAAATCAAATTTCAATTGCTCTTTTATTTGTGTGCCTAATATCTACTTAGGAACCTTAAATCAAATCTGTTTTTCTTCAGCTGCCAGTAGCTCTGCAGAGTGGGAGAGTTTACTGACTGACATACTTCCTGCTCTCATTCCTCAACATGAAGGTACCATCTGCACATCACTGGTGGCCCACAGTTTGGGAACCATTCGTATAGAACATATTTTTCATATGTACCCTGCACCCCAAAGTGAATGTACAGGAGTCTTCAGAACACCATTCTGAAACATTTATATGCCTCCAAAAAGCACAAGCAGCAAAATTCACATATGCAGGTAGCAGAATAGTGAAATAGAGACTGTTAATATAAGTTTAACATGGTAGGCTTGAATTAACTTTATTTTAAAGATCAGAATAAATGATACAATATGTGGAAAATGAATCTGGTAAAATTTTTCAGCGTTTTGCAATAAGATCACTTATCTTTTCGATAGCTGAAGATAAGAGCAATACACAAGTATAAATATATCTCCTCACTAAGATCTATAAAAAGTGCTGAACTCTCAACATCAAAAATATAAATCTTTTTTTTCCCCAAACCAAGACATATACTTCCCAACACTGTCTTATAAAGACAGTTCAAGAGTTCTGAAGTAATGCCCTAGAGATAAATGAGACTATATCCCATTAACAAATAACTAATTAAATTCAGGCTTTTCAAAGATATAGTTTGAACTGGGCATAAAATAGATGAGTTAAACCTACAGCAGTGCGTTTATAAGGTCAGGTATAAGATCTGGTAGGTCTGATCCACTAAGACTAAAGTTTATGGGGAGCTGTACACTTACTATGAAAGACTCAAAGCATGAGAATAGAGCACTGTGTCAATGGGAAGATCATTAAAACAAAAATTAGCAGCACCTTTTTATATAAAAATCGATGTCCCAGAGTTTAATTCTGTGAATCAGAGAATATGATGGCCTGTTTCTTCTCTGGCTAACAGGAAATGGCTAAGTACCATATTTGAGTCATAATTATAGTTTTCTATATAATAAATTTGCATATCAAGTATGTCAGATTTTGTGCTAGCATTTATGTCATCAGTTCTCAATTGTCAGTAACAATTTCTAATGAATTTGAAAGAAGAGGAGGAAAGAAAAAGAAGCAAAGGTTTAACTATTACTATAATTAATGTATCATTACTAAGAACTATATGGTAAACCAAGATAATATACCTCATAGTCACAAAAGAAACCTGAGATACTAAAAACTGTTAGTCCATTATTTTGAGTGAACCATACTGTACATACCATGATATCATAAGACAGTTTATCCGGCAATGTACTGAGTCGTTCTTGAAGAGCCTCATAATCACTCTCTACCTTCTTCCTGTTGACAAATTTAAGTGCATTTAATCTCATTTATATATAAAATAAAGAATGATCTTCTGATAATATAGTATCAGTGCTCCACTGAAAGATATGTGAGAACTAACTGTTTTAACTCATAAAATGTAGATTTTATTTTGTGATAAATTTAAAATGTTAGAGTAAAAAAAAATCCCCACACATCATAATCATCAGCCACTGGTGCATGCACATGTGCATATGAACACATGTGTATAAAGTAATTTAGATTTTAAAAAAATTTATGATGACGCTGCTATACTCCTTTTGTTGAGCTGTAAAATTCCAAAGTGGGGAGGGAGGGAAAGTGTTCTCCTCCCTGCTTTTGTAGCTCTCTCACAAGTTCAGCAGTTAAACCACCATCATAATTTAGAAGAAACACTGAAATCCCAATTTATATTTTAGCAGAGACATGGTATCTTCAGATTCTTCAGAACATGATTTACAATAAACCAACAGTACCTCTTGTGAATACTTTAAAAAGAATATTTTATAGTTAAATATGATTTCTGGCTGAAATTTCTATCCCCAAAAACAGTCAACAGTCCTTCAAGATGATGATTTGACCACTGGGAATGTGTAACTTCTTGAAGTATCAACAAGCACTGTAGATGTGGAACACTTTCTCCTGTTCCCCTTACCAGGACAGTATAAGTACTTCTCAAATGTTACACATTTGCATACTTTTGGGAATTTAACACCATTCCACATGGGAATGTTTTCTTCCAGAGAATATTTTCCTATACATTTCTGAAGAACTAGCATATATATTTTTCCCCATCAACTTAGACAAGCATTTTATTATTGTTTTCTATAATATAGCTTTCGTATTATAGTTTCTCATTCATGATTTTGTTGAAGCCAACATCTTTAAAGTGTCCAAACAGGATTATACAAGAGGCAAGGATTGTTGAAGGTAATGTCTTCTATCAGACCGACAACATGGTTGGGATAGAGTGGGGCTTTTGAATGCAATATGTTAATGAAGAATACACTTCATTTGAAAGGTTGTCTACGTCTATCCTAACCATGCAGTTGGTCCAATAAAAGATATTGCCCACAACAATCCTTGCCTCTCATAATTTCTGGATCATCACAGCTACAGCATCATTTCAACAATATCAAACAGGATCCTAAATTCCCATCTTCTAAGCTGAAAATTCATCGATTACTGCAGTGAGAAGTTTATGTTAAAAAAGATCTTAGGAATTTATTTTGCAAAAGAAAGAGGCTCATTTTTTATACTTCCCAAGAAGTTTCTTATCTATAAGTTGCCTGGTTAATAGCACCTATCTAGTTCATAAAATTAACATCAGCATGTAGAAGCAAATAACAGGTAAAGGAAAAATAGTCCTGAAAACCCAGAAACCTATAACACAAATTAAGAAAGACCTTTCAGCCCTGAGCATTCTGGCTAATTGCAACTTTCTAGGAAGCTATCAGATGAGTATCTCAATAGAAAACAGAAGTCTAGATGTAGCTAGCATTTCTCTCAAGTTTCTTACAAACTTTCTACTGCATGAGGTAATCATGAAGGATTTTTTAGACACATAACCTTCTATGCCATTTTGGACAATCTATCCTAAATTGCAGGGTGGACTGATTCAAATCAAGGGAATTTAAATCACCACAGTGAAAGCCTCGATTTAATCATCAATTTTAATCAACTTTTCATGTGTACTGCACTTGTTTTCTAAAGAAAGGTGCATTCTCATTGGTATAACTATTAAAACATGCAGATTTACAACTAAATAGAGGCTTTACACTAGATGTGATACTTTTTGGTTAGCTTGGAAAATACTCTAGAACTATGTGTAGTTACTTATGTAATTACATAGCCTAATATTTTCAGATTCTTATTAATTTTAATTCTTTATTTTTTAGAAAATGGTGGGTGATCTGTTGGTTGCGTGTCCTCCACAGGATCAAGTCCTCAATATAGTACATGATCTGCTGCACTACATTAATAAAGCTTGATGTTAAGTTTCCCAATTCATCTTTTACAGAGAAAAAGGATATCATGTAACTCAAACTTTCTAATAGAGGCTAGTAGATTCACATATTCATTTTTTATTCAAATGTTCTTAGGATAGTATATTAAGTCTAAGCCTGGATATATTCTGCACTACATTCAGATTCCATTGAAACAGATTTAAAAAAAAAAAAAGTTGAACAGAAGTGGGCAACTTGTTTGATTTGTGGATAAAGAAAAGCAGGGCTCTTAATGGATCCTTTAAAATTATTATTCTCCATAGCCTTAGTTTCCAAAATAGAGTTGAATCCTCTTGATCAGTTGAGTTCAGACTTTTAAAGTGGAAGACTGGGTGCTTGCTCCACCCCTCTGGCAGGGGAGGGCGGAAAGGAGGGGGCTGCTAATGTCAGAGGAAGGGGAAGGAGAGAGATGAGGAGCGACACCCCTAGTAAGCAGCACCTGTCTAAGGGAGGGCCAAAAGGAGAAGCGGAGGAAAAAAGTAGTGTTTGGCATAGAGGACTGGAGGGGGAGACAGCAAGGAAGGCAGCAGAGCTAGCAGCAGCACAGCACAGAGCAAGGAAGGGGATGCACCAGGCCAAACTGCTTGCCACTGATACATCACGTTATGGACTAGGTCCAGTCACTTCAGGAACACCACCACTGTTCTTGATCATTTTGGGACCGCAAAACATATTCTAATGATACCGTGAAGTTTTGTCTCATTTAATTTTTGGATGATTACAGCTGTCACTGTTAGTAACAGCTAATGTTGCCACATAAAGCTATTAAAACACTTAGGATGGTTCCTGCCGTCTAGCCCAAGCTAAAAAATACATGTCTAAGATGCTAACCTGTGAGATAAATTGATAAGACTTTGCATATCCCATTCTCTGCCCCAAAAGAATTCCTGTTTTCATGGATATGAGCTTGTGTTTCAGTTTCTTTTTAGGAAGAGAAAACTTTGTAAGAGCTGGGAGGGACTGCGGATGAAGGGAACATGAGTTTCTTCTTATAACTAGGTTTCATGGAACTGGGATCCTTGAGAAAACTGACTGAAGATCTGTCATCCTTTCCTTTTGTGAAAGAAAATAAATGATAGCTTTGTATAAGGAATGTAAAATTCTATTTTAATTACCCCATCTGCCTTCTTTAAAAGATTCTTTCACAGAAGCGAAGGCTGATCAAGCAAATCTTAGGCAATGTGCATAAGCCACGAAAGGAAACAGAGGGCTCTTCTTACTGCCTACTGCCTGCTTGGCTAATACGCTGACTAGAAAACTGGAAGCAATGTAAAAATAATAAAGATGATGCTAGCACTTTTGCTCCCTGAATCAGATCTAGAAGTTAGTTTGGTTTGGGGTTTTTTACCCCCTTCCTTTCCTTTTTTAAATAACTATCCAATAAGGAATCTGGACATGATGGTAACAAGATTCATATAGCACCTTTTCAGCTACTTGTTAAAGTGACTTGACAGTTTGCAGTTGGCTTGTATATCAAGTCTGTGAGAGCCTGAAACTCAAAGCATTTATTTCAATGTGCCTTTGTTTGTGTTGCTATCCTATTAAATATCTGAAAGCCCTTTACAAGGGATGGCCAGCTGGTTAAGTAGCATGATGTCAACACCTGCTGTTGAAGGGCCTCCCAGGAAAGGTGCCAAACTTAAAGACCAAGTACTAAGAGTCCATAATGGAACACATAGTACAGGAAATAACATTGAGGACTCCGGATATACTCCTTCCAAGGGCTCATCTTCACAAACCTTAACTGTGTTATGACATGGTGATGACAATTCAGATTCCAAAATGAGAGAATAATCTTTAAAGATGCATAGAACCAAAAACAAAACAAAACAAGGGCAAGTCCTTCTATTGTTTTTTGACATGCAAAGAGGAGTATCCTTAAGAAACAAGAAAAGAGGAGCATGGAAAATAAGTGCTTTTCTTCCTACAAGGAAAGGATTAGCTCTCTGATGATTTTAGGCCTCAAACACTTCCCAATTTAACAATTTTTCTGTTTGCCTGGAAAGAAGGTATCCTTTAGGATTAGACACTACCAATTAACCACATGCAAGTGCTAGAGGAACTGCTCTAGTCAAAGCCAGAAAGATTCTACTGCATTAATACACCACATGTTCTATATTAGTGATACTTGGAAGCTAACTTTCTGATGTGGTTACTTACCCTTATGAAGGAGAGAGTTTAGGGGAAAGAACACTTAAGAATGAACAAAAGAACGGTTTTTCAAAAAAACTACCGTACCTTGCCAATAAAATTTGTACTGTGCAAGTCTGAAAATACAGCCAAGTTATGATCTTTTTGTTTGACCAACTGTACAGTGGAGATAGAATTAGACAACCTTTCAAATGCAAAACATTCTTCATCAGGTCACCTTGGATTCAAAAGCTTGTCCAACTCCATCCCAACTATATAGTTGGTCCAATAAAAGCTATCACCTTAGAGAAATCCTTGTCCCTTGCATAATTTCCAGACCATCATAATGAAAAGACAAGAAACAACAACAAGAAAAAGGATGAATCAATACAACTAGTTGATTTAAAACAGTCTTGCATATGGGAGGAATCATCCTCCCTTTCCACCTACTGGCACATTTATGAAATGAACACTTTGGTCTACTGACTGAACATATAACAAAGAAATTAAAATAAACACCTGTGCATCAGAGAGACTTATTTACAACTGGATTTCACTTATGAAAATGCCTCTCTGCATGAAAATTCTTTGACTTATACATACTCTTTCATATTTGAACAGTTATTTATGTGTATAAACTTACACTTAAAAAAGCAAACTAGACTTATAAGTGGAACATTTTAAGAGAAATGTATTAAAATTTGAGCATCTAAAACTTTATTTCTCATTCAATTCTTTTTAGCAGCCTTCTGTACCATTAGCTACTGAAACAAATCATCCAGCTGAAATGAATGGATATTTAGTTCTTGCACAATCAGGATCTAAAAACAACAACATTTTTGTCATAAAAAGCTGTGTACATGCTATGTAACTACTCTTCTACATAAAATCTGTCATCCCAGATTTTTAATTCTTTGTGTAAACACCCCAAAATTAGTTATGGACCAATACTAGTAGCTTATTGTTTTAAAAACACATCCTTCATACCTACCCTTCGAAAAACAGACATTTATATAGAGAGGTAAAAGAAAACAATTTAAACGTTGTCAACTTTTGTTTGAAAATGATGCATCAGAGCTTCAAAAAGGTTTTTGGGGGGACAGGGGAGTGGAGGGTAGGCAGAGATAATTCCTAGTAGCAGTATATATAACCATACTGGCCTAAATGTGTATGGACAATTTTAAAACCCCTGAAAATAGAAGTACATTATGGCAATAGTGGCTTAACTACAACAGCACCAGTGGGCACCTCTATAATGTTGCTTTTATTGAAAATTAAGACAGTCTCTGAATTTTAAACATAAGTGAAACATATGAGTTTTAGATTATTTTCTGCAAGCCAGTAGTCAGAATTTAATATGATGATGTGTATAGATTGCACCGATTTTTTTTTACTCTTATCCACTGTTTGCAGCTTATATGCATTTAAAATAAAAACATTTGATACACACTAACTATAAATTATTTGCTTGGAGATCTTTCAGGCATGAAGAAAAAGCCTCTTAAAATAAATTTAAAATATTATATGCTTGATGGTGTATAACCAAAGGTTTAATCTCAGCACTAAAAGGGGCAGTTGCTGTGATTCTGCAATAACCCTGCAGACAATAATCAAGACAGCTCCTGTTGTTCTCTCAGTAAAATCATGGTAAACACAGCATGGATATATTGTAATTTGATATCTGTAAGATCAACTGTTATATCTCACAGTAACTCATAACATAAGATTCTATTCACCATTAAATGTACATTTTCCTCCAATGCCACATGAAACTGTTATTTACTAAGCATGTTTTCCATTAACTATAGATTACCATATTAAAAGCAGCAGAGAAAAAAAGTGCCATTTTAAAGGACAACCCATTTTCTCTAACCATTAAATATTAAGGTTTATCAAAAACAGTTAGCTGTAAAAATGCTAAATGTTATAAATGCTCTACATTTTAAAAAAAAGTTAATTAAGCAGCTGCACTTAAAAAACAACAACTCCTCCATATTTGGGACACCTATTTAGCAGTGTTCTTTCCACAAGTTACTTGGGGAAAATTAAGAGGAAGAAGGAGACTTAAAATAATTATACACACTGAAGTTCCAACATATTTGGGAAGACAGTGATATCACAGGGAAAAATATACATTTGAAAGAAGGAGCACTGCAATAAATCAGACCTATCTCAAACTATAAACCCTAACATATCCTAGTAGAGTTTAGCTAACATTATTATAATAACTGTAGGGTACTTTACTAAAACACAAGCAGGTTCTCCCATCAGTATTTTAGGCATGTAATCAAACATTTTTCACTTACCAGTGCTGGATTTTTTCTTGGCAGCTAGTGACCACCTGTCATTAAAACAGATAACTGCTCATGAAAAAACAAGGCTAAGCACACAGCTGCAATATCAATGTATCAGAAACTAGAACAGTAGCTTTACAGATTTGGTAGCATCTCTATATACATTTTTATTTGTCAGTGCAAAGGCATGTGAATGTTACTTCTTAAGGAGCACGCTTTATCACAATACTAATGCAAACTGATAACTGCAGAACAAATTACAGCTTTCCAATTCATATTTTGGTACAGTGTCTGCTCCATAACTATTACGTGACATATGATATAAGATAAGCAGTATTTTGTATAATCTACAGATCTATTTTCAATGTTACATGTTTTGTAAAAAAAGCAAACAATATAAATTATAACAAAAACCAATGTAACATCCATGCTTGTTCATTTAAAAAAAAAAAAAAAGGAAAATATTTTCAGGACTGCCTTTATCATAACATCTACAAATGGTGGTTTCACTAACAATATTATTCTGAAACAGTACAAATGAATTTTGCTGGGTTTAAATGCAAAAAAATTGCCTCTAGTACATCTTTTGTTAAATAGAAAACATATATACCCAAGCAACACACTTTTTTTTCAAAGTACAGATTCCCCCAAGAGACCAAAAGTTAACCATTTCATAATATGCTTAAGACTATGCATTTAAAACATTAAGTTAAAAACAAAAAGTTATTTAGTTTAATAGCATAAGTGCAGACAAGATATGTTTTTGCTCCAGTGGATTGCAGTATCACAACTGGATGGACATTTTTTTTTCAAAAACATATTTTGAATTTTGAATAATACACGCTGAAATGTATAATACAGACAATTTCACTCAATTACATAAAATGTAATGAAGCTGTGAGTCAATTAAATGTCTAGACTTGTTCTCAATAGAAGCATATTCCAAATATTTTTGAAAATTCTGTTTTACAAATAGCCACAAAACTGCCAAGTTAAAAATAATTAATGGGATAATTTGCAGAAAAACCCCAACCACCATCTTCAACTTCCACCAAAATCATTAGAGCTTTTAAAAAAAAAAAAAAGTGCAACAGAATGCACCTTTTTTTCTTTTTGGCACATGTGCGCCCATTACAGGAAGACTCTACAAAATTTACTCAGACAAGTAGATAAAGCAAACTACTTGTGTCAGCTAACAAACGTAGAAAAGTTGAAGGATCAGTTCTGTATTTACAGCCTCACAACTCCATAAAAACCATACACAGTGGAATACATAGTTGATCAATCTCACTCCAGGGTTAAACCTTATGCCTGAGCAGTCTATAAATTAAAAACCTCTTTAATTCCTATTAAATTATTTCTCCTAACAAATTTGCTATTTTTAAGTCTAAGACAGAACAGCAGGTTTCTATAGGATATAGATTCACAAAGCTATTACATTAATATAAGGTCCACTTTAGAATAAAGCTTTACTAGCCTGTATAAAGCATATTCAATAGTAACAGTGCATAACAGTGGTAATATACAAAAAGGGGCCGCTTTAAAACATAGTAAAGACAGAAAATATTATATCAACATATTTCACTGTTTCAGATTTGGTAGTGACTGCAAAGTACACAACATAATTAAGTGCACAAAAAAATGTTTATGAAATCCTTTAAGAAAGTTCCAGGTTAATTGCCCCATTAAAGATGAAGCTGGAAAAAAAAAAGGCAGGAAGCTTTCCATTCCCAATACATGACTTTCCATGCATGAAGTGAGCTAAAAGCACAAAAAGAAAAGCCCTGCAAACCATAAGAGCAGCATGTTCATTAACCTCTACATGATAATCCTTTCGTAGCTGCATATTAACTAGTTACATATTCATAATCATTTACATTATTTAGAGGACCTTCTATGAAAATTTCTAGGCTATATCCATTAGCTACAATGTTAAAGGTTACAGACGATAGTCTACTTAATGTTTCCAGGAAGCTTTTTTAATTAGTAAATATGTAAATTGGACGCATATGCTTTTTGTATTTCTTTTTAAATGGACCATCAGTACAACAGCATATAGATATATGCTGTTTCCACCATCCTTTATCCCCTTAAAAACAATCAATAAGACCAATCAATTTTAATTTAATTCTTCTTCTTTGATATAATCTTCCATGAAGGAATACCAAAGGGTGGAACCAATAACAATCTCTACTGTGGCAACAATAAAATAAGGGATCTCACGGAAGTGCTAACATCACCAGCTTCAATATGCTTTTATTCATATCTCAAGGCTGAAGAAATAACTATACTAGCTGAAGAGATATTTTAAAAATCTAGGAGTCAATCACGTATTACTTCTATGTTCTTTGATGGGACAGTCAATTTGTTACAATACCTGCAAAAATAAGCAGCAAAGAAATATATCCAGCTCTTTTGAGTCTCTTAACTCTGTGCTGCTAGAAGCAACATATACCGTTGTGTACAATTTTTAAATGGCTGATGACAAGGTAAATACATACATGCATGAGTTACAGTTATAGGTGAGTTATAGTTGAGTTTTTCTGGCCTACTAATGCTACCAAACTATATTACCTTTAAGACACAGTAGAACGATAACAATGCATTCCAACTTATTTTCCTTCTAAGCATAACAATATATGAATTTGCAAATCTATGAGGTTAACAATAGTTTATTTGCAATCTAAAATATTTAAAGTGTGCTATTAAACTATACTGGCAGCAAACAACATCAGCTAATCAAGTGTTCAGTTATTAAAAAAGAATCTACTTTTAGAAAAAAAAATCTTTAGTCAAAATTAAATGGGAATAGACAAGTATGTTGTTTCCTCTCTCTCCCCCACAAACTTAATATTTCTCCAGATCTTGATTCAATACATGCAAATCTGATTTCAGAAATGCTTGCTACTTTTTCAGTTGGATCACCAAGCATGCCACCTGCTTGAAGAGCTTTTGCATGTTTGTCTCGTTTTCTGCTATTTACATTGTGGGTAGCCACAAGGGGGCATTGTCTTATGAGTTTCCATGCTAAGTACATACAGCACACAGTAAAAAAAAAAATGGTGGACAAAAGCAAGGTTTTAAATAACTATTATTTTGCAGTTTTTCCAGTGGTCCTCTCTTCAGTTTTAATTACTCCTTGAATACAAACCAGGCATAAAAAATAATAATTGCTGGGTCTATTTTTCATTTTTTCAAGCTATTTAAACTGAACCTTTCCATTACTTCTGTTTTAGGGAGCTAATTTAAGTTTTAACCCTTGTTCCTATACTTGCGAACTGTTATCCCCAATTAGTAGTACATCACAGCTGAAAGATGAACTAGAATGAAGATACAGCACTATATTGGGATGGTGGGTAATGTAATTAAAATAATGGCTTTTGGTTTGCCTAGTAAACATAGATGGTTTTAACAATAGACATTTATATTGTACTCTTATTTTTAATGCCATGTATTAAATGCTAATACAAGTGTGGTGGCAAATAATGAGCATGCATTTCATAATCATGATTCTTTTTCTAAGTATCCGAGGGTTCCAGTGGTAGCCTAACAAAGCTCACAGGCTGTTGAAACATGAGTAGCCACACACTGCTCTGCTGCATAGCAGAAGACACTCTTCACTGTCTTAAAGACAGAAACATTCCTTCTTCAGCAGCCACACTGAACTCCTTTCTCATTGTCCAATCAGCCAATCAATATATATAATTTTTCTCCATCTTCCATCTGAGGAACTGAAAGCCCTTCACATGCATTAATTAAAATTTGCAACACACTTTTGGGAGACAAATTAGCTTGATTTAACAGGGCAACTGAGTGACTTAACTGAGATTACACATCAGTCCACAGCAGAGCCAGGAGTAAAAGGCAGATCTCCTGACTCACGATCATCAGATATAATCACTGCACTGAACTCCCTCAACAGACTGTTTCTTAGAAATGAAGATGGGTTGAATTATGGGAAGAGAAGAAATGATCTAACATGGGAGCAGGTTCTTACCTCTGCATGCCTATCAATTACAGATCTACTTCCCATTCCTGTGCAGATGCTTCACTTCCCTTCCTCTCTTTCTTGAAAAAGACAGTATGCCCATTCATGCTTTTCTTTCTGTTAATTCTGTGCATATCTATCCCGAATACTTCCCCAGTGTCAGGCAGTTCTTCAAGACGAAGTACTACTTTTGTGAAGTGCAGTATATGATAACCCTGATGACTATTTTCTTAAAAGAAGGCTGACTCACATGTGCTACTTCCTAAATCCTAGTCATTTGCAATTTTCTGAGGCTGTCCTCTCCAATAAAGAGCCTCTCTCACCGCCCCCCATCTTACCCTCACATTGCACATAGCAGCACAGTGAAGCTAATCTGCTAATTCTTATCTATTTCCTACAGGCTCTGGGTAACAATAGGACAAACTGTCAAGCCTCTGATCAGTTCTCTTTATGCTACACCTTGGGAAAAGCTACAATCGGCAGAGATGGCACTGGAGTCATCTCTTGGCAGTTGACTGAACCTGTCACTAGATTCATACTGTTATGGTTATGTTCACAAGCTAGAAACTACTTCTTTTTAGATGACATCTCAATTTCTAGAAAAGATAATACCAACTGTGTAGGTAAGCAGCTGAACTGATTTTTCCAACACTGTACATGGGCATGTACAAAAGTTGAGTGCGCGTGCACAGTTGGATATATATGCACACACATAGCTAATTAAGATTATAACTCAAGAAATGTTCAATAAATATTTGGTATTTGTACATGTGCACTATGCATTTGCATGAAAGGCGAGGCACATTACCAGATAAGGATGTTTTAAGTTCTGACTTTCTAAAATTATGACAAATATTACACCATTAGGTGCCAGGAACCCAAGTCCAATCCAAACTCTGACACTGACTTCTACTAGGGAGTCTTGTATAAAATGAAGCCTCTCAGACTACACTTCATCTGTGAAATGGGAATAAGCAGTACTGACTTACCTGCTCCCCAGGGTTTGATGATGATTAATTAATGCCAGAGAAGCACTTTGAAAATCTGGAGCACTGTATAAGTGCTTAGTCGTATTATTCACCACTTGAAACGTAATCTGAATGAGATCAGATATGTAAGTAATTTGTTTACATGTGGTAATAAAATAATTTGTAACTGTTTAAACTTGAATTAGTCTCACTATAAGCATTTCCTTTCAATCACATTTCTAGTTACTGAAAAGAAAACCTGATGGTATAGAGTACTTTTTGTAGAGGCAACGGGAAGTAATGAGGTGTTAATTAAAGTAAGGGTCCAATAAATCTAAAGCCAATGATCTGCTGCCAGGATACTGACCTTGCCATTTGGGATTTTTGAAAAGACCTTAGTCTTGACCTTGGTTCTATCACTCGGGCCCTCCCATGAACAAACTACCATAATCAAACTGCAAGTTTTCTGCAAGAAAGATCAATGTTTACTAGGGCCCAAGATAAAACCAAACTAATTTTCGCTACTGACCTAATTAGGAGAATCCCAAGTCTCCTGAGTTTAATTGCTTAACTTTGTACATGTAAGTACAGCCTTCAGTGGGATACTTGCATGAGTTACCCACATGCATAAAAGGCTCAAGATCCACTATGCTATGTAGCCCATACAAGAGTGATTTTCTCTGCCACAATATGTAGTGAAAAGACAGATGGTGAAACTGAATTTACTGACAAAGTTGTAATTCGTTCATAATAAGATTTTACATCATAGTAAAAAAAATGGGTGGTCAAGTATTTAGTAGTAATAACAGGATATAAGAAGCCATATGGAACATAAATGTTTAAAATTACTTTTCAGTTTTACTTTAGAAAAACCCTCTGCTTTCAGTCTACAACACAGCAACCACTGATAGAGAAAGGCAGGACCAAGATTTACAAAACCACTTGTCTTAGAACTCCCTACCCATTCCAATCATCCTTAATATTTCAAATATAATTCCCTTTTAGACACTTCCCAAAATAAATAGCAAAACATGAAATAAAGCTGGTAAAGTTCTTCAATCATATGGTATATGATCTAGTGGAAAAGCAAAATGCATTCTTGAAATGTAATGTTCAATTATGAAATCAAGTTATTGATAAATATTACAGTTCAAAAATTTGTAAAATGATCTTAGCCCAAAGGGGATTTTTATGCCTGTCAGTAAGATAAGTGTTTGAGGGAAGGGGATACTGGAGGACATTTTTAATACATTTACTTGAATTTTAAAAATCCTAATCAAAATTCTTAGTTACGTCTATAGCAAAAAGCAGAAATCTAAAGATTTTGTGTCTCTTGCTCTTACAAGGTACAAACTTCATTAGGTTTAGGGAAAATGAATATAAAATCATTAGTTATTGGGATAGGGTAAGATATCAGTTCTTGATATTTAACAACTAAGCAGAGGCCAGTTAAGTCATCCTCTCTTCATAACAATGTACTCCCAAGCTAATTCAGGTGGTGCAAGCAGTATATCCATGGTACCATTTACCCAGCTCATTGGGCTGATTTTGCAGCCCATGCTGTTCTCCATGCTCTAAGGACTACAGGATTCAGTTGCAACTGAATTAGTTTAAAGTTTACACAAGCTAACATAGATGTAAATTGATGCTCTGTCTGGGAAAATTCACTTGAGTGTAAATGTTACTGAACTCAGAAAAATCCTAAAAGAAATAAGTTGTACCATACCAAGTTAGTGGCAAGGATACCGAAAAATGTATAGCTCCTTCAGTTTTAACTTCTGCAGGCTATTCTATAAAAGCTGCACAAAAAAATGCCTGGAGGCGCAGGACTGCCACATTGGTGCCTATTAGGGGTGTGCGAAGCAGGCCCTATTTGATTCGGATTCAGAT